GCCCGCCCCGCGGGCGCAGCTTTCTTAAAGGGACAGGTGGCTCGGATCCGCAGCTACCTGGGCCCGGACTCTGCCTCCTGGTCCGACCCCTCTGGGGGAGAGATGAGGTCGCCAAAGGTCTCTCAGCCCGCTCACCTCCTTGACCCAGGGACAGGGACCGGGTGCAAGGATTAATGCACCCAGCGTCCTTTTCTTAATTCTTCTGGCCAACTCATCCCTGTTGGCAAAGTTTGAAGAGCCGCCTCCCAGAGCGTGCAAGGCTCGCTGCTGCTGGGAAACGCCCGCTCCTATCCCCTTGACTCTGCCCTGTAACTGACCCTTGGGAAAGAGCCCCCCCGCACGACTACCGCGCACACAGTGAGCTGGACAGCTCCTGAGAGGGAAATTTAAAAAAGGTTGGCGCTGAGACAGCGGCCAAATTGCGGAACGCGAGGGGCGAGCGCGAGCGCCGGCCCAGGTGGTCCCGCGAGATCGGCTCCAGGTACCGCCTTGCAGACCCGGCTTTGCGCTTTTGTTCCAGGCAGAGCTCTGGATTTCATTTCCAGGATAGTGATCCCGGCGCAGGGTTGCTGGGGACTCCTGATAGCCTTCTCTCTTTTCTGGGGTTTCCCCTAAACACTTTGGAGATGGAACTCATGAGTCTTTGGCAGGTTACTGCGTTCATTTCAGGTTTGAAGTTTTTTTGTTTGTTTGTTTTTCTTCCGGTACTAGGAATCGAACTCACGACCTTGCGCTTGCCAGGCAGGCACTTTGCCGCTGAGCTAAATCTCCAGCACACCCCCCCCCTTTTTTAATAAGGTCTTGGTATGTAGTTCAGGCTGGCCTTGAACTCACTATGTAGCCCAGGCTGGCCTCGAATTCAATCTTCCTTCCTCAGCCTCCCAAGTGCTGGGACTACAGGTGTGCGTCACCATGCTCCAATCAGGTTGGAAGTCTGAAAAACAGGGGGCTCGAGGTGTTTTTTGCTTTTTGGTATTTTAAAAGTTGTTGGTGTGTGACAAGGATAGGTGATAGTGGAGGTTGGGACTGGTTTACATTTCAGAGGGCATTTATGGGGTGGAAGCTCTAGGAGATTGTTCCCTTTGCAAGTGGGAATTTGGGCCTTTCTGAGAAACATGTGACACATTAAACTTCCCTTTCATTCTTTTTGTTCTGAATTTTCAAAGTGCTCATAGTTTAATTGAGAGTGAAAACAAAACTTGGAAAAGAATGAAGTTCTGTTTACAGATAAAATCAAACAGCAATGGACTGCATGTAAATTTGACTTAACTACTTTCTAAAACCTTGGGTTGGGCATGGTGGAGCACGCCTGTAATCCCAGCACTTGGGAGGCTGACGCAGGAGGATTGTTGCCAGTTCAAGGCCAGCCTGGGCTACATAAGTGAGTTCAAGGCCATCCTGAACTGCTTAGTGAGATCCTGTCTCAAGAAAAAGACAATAACCCCTGAAACATCTTTGTTCCCGGGGATATAGCTCAGTGGCGCATGGCCTGCCTGGCAAGCTTGAGGTTGTGAGTTCGATTCCCAGTACCAACAAACAAACAACTCTTTATTGCTCAGATGTGGCTAAAAAGGGGCTGTGACGTTGACTCCACATTGTCAATCACGTCACCTCAGTGTGTGACCAGATAACAAGCAGAACAGAATTCTGGCAACCAGGGACAATGGAAACAATAATTGATCAGTGATGCTTTCAGAGAAAGACAGGGGATATAAAGCAACTTGAGAGCTGTCAAAATCTTGATGCAGTCACTCGCGTTAACCTTACCAAAAGAAAAATAGGGGCTGGGGATTTAGCTCAGCTGCACAGCACCTGCCTGGCAAGCGCAAGGTCGTGAGTTCGATTCCCAGTACTGGAAAAAAAAAAAAAAGAAAAAAAGAAAAAATGAGAAAAATAGAGCTAAGAGGTCATGAAGAAGGGCTCTTGCATATAAATGCCTGATGATAGCAAAGGGACAGTTGCCAATGTCATACATTTTTCCTGAGTCATTTTAAGAATAATTTAACAGGCCTTCCAGTAAAAAAATTCAGCTTCAAACAGGCATGGTTTTATTTAATATGCTAGTACATTTTGTCTTCACCAGGATACATCCATCAAAGTCTGTGTTTATATTCCTGATAGTTCAGATAACATATCTTTCATTCTCTAAGGTCTCCATCAACAAGTTCAAGTTATATCTGATCCTACCCTCTCTTTAAACAGCTTAATATGGAAATGGGTTTGGGGGTTCCTCATGGTGAACACCGCTTCTCACAATAGGGATAATTTGTTAGAGAGGGTCTAAAAAATCTATGTAGTTTGGGCTTGCTTTGAACTCGTATATAGCCCAAGTTGGCCTCGAACTCACAGTGATCCTCCTGCCTCAGCCTCCCAAGTACTGAGATTACAGATGTGCTGTGACACATAGCAGAGCCTTGCATCTTTAACTGCTTATCTCAGTTTGTGTCTTTTAGGTTGAGTCAATTTTCCTGCCACTACATGCCACCTGTAGACCATAATTCACATTCTTACCTAGCAATGATGGCTGCTGCTATTAAGAGACAAACAACCTAAATATATGACCCTCTCTCTCCTAAAGGTGGTTCAGCAAAACCAATACCAGGGCCCCACTCCATCCCTTTTCTGGGGAAGTAACCGAAGATTGACTGTGACATCCTAAGTCAAGGAACTGACTTTGCTGAGTTGTTGAGGGGTGGGGGAGGTGGGGCATCATGGTTACTTTACTGCTTCTTTAAAGACCACATTGACACTGAGTAATGGATCTGTAGTAGAACCCTGTATGCTATGTGCAAGGGTACATCACTAGATGAGTCCTTCCTTGCCAATTTTCAAAGAATAACATTTCTCTGTCTATCCCAATATAATACCAAAAGTGCCTTTCAAGTGCAGACATACATATTTTATTCTGATCCCTTTGCTCACTAACCGTAATCTTTACATATTTGTTAATTTACTCAGGACTGTTTCTAAAAATGCCAAGGGCAATGTACTCTGATGAACAAAACATCACTCAGCCTTCAAACAATACCTGGGTGTCCCCCACACTGAGATGGATGATGAAACCACATGACCGGATGAAAGCGTTCCTCAGGTGACCCTCTTATATCCCCTCCTCACACTGAAATCAGATATAATTTTCCCTGCTTTTCTCTGTTGGTAGATTCCTCACTTGGAATTCACCCTCTGCTATCTTGCAGTGAATAAACTCTTCAGCTTTTCTATGTTCCTTGGTAAATCCTTTTTTACCACCTGCAGCGTTGGTCTCTTGTGGGCACACTGATAACTGGGCAGAAGTCCTTGAGGCCCCAAACTGCTTCTGCTGTGCTTCTCTGTCGCAGATGGTTACACACAGCCAAGGGTGCATGCTGAGTATGGCGAACTGTTCCGCTCAGGGCCATAGGGCAGAAAGAACGTATGTGCTGAGAGCAGTATAGCACGGAAACATCAGCTAATCTGTTCAGTTTCGCAGACCAGACTTCAGTGTTTCTTCGTCTTGTTCTGATGGGTGCTGAGATTAGCACCAGAATGCCTCTACTTTGTCACATGCCTGTACTTGATGTCCCTTGAGTGATCTTTTTCTTAATTTATTCTTTGCTCTCAATTCCTGGTCTTTTTTTTCAGACAGAGTTTCACTATGTAATTCAGGCTGGTCCTGAATTCACTTTGTAGCCCAGGCTGGCCTTGAATTCACATGGATCCTCCTGCCGCCGCCTCCCAAGTGCTGGGATTACTGGCGTGTTCCACCACACCAAGCTATTCCTGGTTTTGAATAAAAGTTGAACTGGCCTCACTCTGAGACAGCCTACCACCCTTTGGAGCAGTCCCTCAGGTCTCTCAGGTCTCTTGCAATCTTGGTCTCAGTAATTTCTTTTGTTCATCTCCAGTGTCCCAGATGGGATTCTGCCTCACAGGCTCTCTCACATGCCATGCACAGTATGGCAACTACTTCCTCTTTGAGAAAACTGCTTGGACCCTTCCCCATGACAGCCCCAAGTTGCTTCCAGCCGCTTTTCTCCCCAGGGGCTCCTAAAGCTACCTGGGCTGGCTTTCTGCCTTTTTCCTTGCATTTGGTGACCGAAGCACTTTCAAAATCTCACTAGGTCTCTGTAACAGCCACACAAAGGGACAAAGCATCCATTATTTTACAGATAACAAAGAGGCTCAGAAAACTTTGGGAGCTTGATGACTTCTCTATTGGGATGTTCCAGCAGGAGCCATTCACCTAATGTCATGACAGGTTGTATAGGGACACAATCACAGGAATGTGGGCTTACACCCCAACGTGCCCTGGAGTAGGATGAACAAAGCATGAGCATCATGATGGAGTGTGTTATGGTTTCTATCTGACATGTCCCCAAAGCCTCATACTGTCATAGGTGGGGCTTTTTGGAGGTCACTGGATCTAGGGTGTGTGATGCTGGGATCAAGGATGCGATGCTGGGATTGATTCATGGGGTGATGCTAGGATTAATGTTGCCCCATCCTGGGAGTGAATGCTACCAGGTCAGACTTCCAACCACATGAGAAAGCAACCCTGTGGGTCTTGACTGAGGTACAAAGAACTTTTCTTCCTTCTCCTACTCTGTTCCAGCACTTTTTTCCTGGCCTATCTTATATACAACAAATACCGACTTTCCAAAAACTAGCAGAGATTCACTACTTTATAGGGCTGGGAAATGAGGCCAGAGACTTAGTTTTGCTGGGAGGTCTGGCCCAGTCTCCATTTCTTCCACTTACTTTTTTTTTTTGAGACAGTGTCTTGCTCTGGAGCCCAGGCTAGCCTTGAACTCACCACGATCCTTTTGCCTCAGCCTCCCGAGTACTGGGATTACAGGCTTGCACTACCACACCCGGCTTCCCTTTCCTTTTCCCCTATTTTTTTTCAGTCCATTCCTTTCCCCATCCTCTGCGACTTTGCACAGTTCCTTCCACGCAACCTGAGACAACTTGTGACCCGGCCTGGAGTCTCCGACTCTAGCCTTCTGCCCGCCATCCGAAAAGTGCGCGAATCCTAGCCCCTTCCCCTACACTCCCCAACTCCCAGGTAGTTTTTCCTCCCTGTCCTTCCAGCCCCAGGGGCTGCCAGAAGACGGAGCCATGGTGCCCGCAGAGGTCCGGGTCATACGGGCGGTGGTAACTGCCTCCTAACCAACCAAGGTGAGGCTGTTTTCTGCCTGCATCACCTGCTGCCAAGGCAACCCACCCCATAACACTCCCACCCCACCCCCGCGCTACTGTGAGGGCGGGAAATCCTGCACCTGCTCCTTCTCCTCGCTTGCTCAGGGCTCTGCAGGCCAAGGCAGATCGCTGTCGTGGCTGGGGTTGACCCGGACTGACCTGGGACCACCGTGGGGCATAGACAGGGGAGGATTTTGTCCTGGGTTCAACCTCCAATATTAAGAGAAAATAAAAAAGTCTACGAACGCCAGGGCCTTTGCTTCCCGTCTCACTCTCCCCGACTCTCTCGGGTAGTTTTTCCTCTCCACGCCTCCAGCCCCGGAGGTCCCCCACACCTTCCGCACCTACCGCACCTACCGCTGCTGCAGCCCACGAATGCCACCCCCAGCATCCGTCATCCGCCCGTCTCCACCAGGGGCCTGGAGCTCTACCTGGACCTGCTGTCCCAGCTGCGCTGTGCACCTCTTCGCCCAGAAGAACAGCACCCCTTTCCAGCTGCGCACCCTGGAGCCGCTCAAAGGTGGTCTGGCCTGATTTTCTATGCCTTGGCAAACACGGTGCACCCAGAACCCCTTGCGGGCTCCAACCTGAGCACCTTGCCTTCTTCTCTTCTTCCCCAGGGCCATCAAACACCCTCTCTGCTTTCACAGCGCTGCCTACCCTGCAGAGTAGCCTTAAAGTTCAGCCCTCTGCATGGGATGATGATTGTACCTTGTATTCTGTGGCATACCTTGAAACCATGCAGCTACACTTCCAAAACTTTGAGGCCTTGTGGAAGACAGAGGGGAAGGGCTGAGCCACCAGCAGGGGTGCTGGTCCCCTGGCCTGGCCACCAGAGCTAAATCCCTTTTCCTGATCCATCTGCAGCACCTGCCGGCATCTACCAAAGCCCCTTGGCTGCCTCTGGAGGGGCAGGGCAGGGAGGCCATTCCCACTCCTAGGCGATCAGGCCCAGCCCTGGAGTGGGGCTCTGACAGAGAAGAGAAGTGCAGCCCGTGTGCTGCACACATTTTCTGACTTCCTCCTTCTCAGGGCAGCATTTGAGCAAGGAGTTCTTCCAGGCGAACAGCCTGCAGAAGGTGCCTGACCTCAGACGGGACTTCCTGCTGACTGAAAGGTGCCCTCCTTCCCTCTCACCTCCTAAGCCCTCAGCCTGCCTGGCCTCCTTTCCTTCCCTGCTGTGAGTCCTCTCAGAGTCTGTGGGGGCGCTGAAGGGAAGGTGAGGGGCTGGGGAGAGTCTGGAGTGACTGGGGGCTGACTCATGTCTCCGTCCCTCTCTTGTCCTTAGCTTCCTCGGCTGGTCTCTGGGGCCTCTCAACCCCCAAACTGAGGGGTACGAAAGAGAGAACAAGGGGACATTTGTCCAGTGTTGGGCAGAGACTAGGTTCAACACATGGAAGTTGGAACGGGCCTCTCCTGAATTCTTAAAGGTTCCTGACCCCAGGCTACCCAAGCTGGCCCTGTGCCAGCAACCCACCCAGTGGCACAGCTCCTGGTGGCTTCTCCTGTTACTGACTTTTAGGTACAAGGGAAATTCTTTCCAGGTGCTTGGTGTCCCGAACAAAGAATTGGGCAGGATACGAAAAAGGTAGCAGGGAAGTACATTTATTAAAGGTAGAAAATTAGTACGCTCTGCAGAGTCAGAGGGGGCCGGTGAACAGAATCGCAGAAGCCATGAAAATAATGGAGGGAGTCTTTTATATTTGGAACTCCTAGATTGGCTTCTCCCTCATGCAAATACAGCATTTGAGATGGTTGCCCTATCTAAAACGCACTTGGCTTGGCCCCACGTTTAAACTGTCCTATAGACTTGTGTGGTTTCGTGCCAGATGTAAACTAAGGATTGAAAATAGTGCTTCTCTGATTGGTCCTGCATACAGTGCTCAAGGATTGCGGAGTCCTCCCAGAGCCTATGTTCTGCGCATATGACCTGGCTCTCCTGACTTTGACAGATTACCCCCAGTTTGACTGGTTTTGCCCCAGCCCTGATCTCTTACCTCATTTCCCTCTGACAGACATAATCCCCATAATTCTTTATGGGAGACCGAGGGAGCAGAAGTCTGTTTCTTCATATAGCTGCTTTCCTACCTGTCTTGGTTACTTTTCTGTTGTTGTTAAGACAAAATATTTGACTCCCAAAATTAAGGAAACGTTTATTTAGCTTATAGTTTGTGGAGGTTTTAGTCTCTGTTTGGTTGGCTCTAAGGCAGAGTGGCACATGGCAGAGGGCAACAGTTTATGGCAGCGGAACAGCAAAGCAACAAGAGCAAAAGGGAGGAGTGGCAGAGAAGAGCAAGCCTCTTTTCCTCCCTTATATTGTAGGCAGGTTGCCTCCACCCAGGGGCATGTAGCACTCTCATAATCTCCATGCCCTCCTCTTGCACAGGCTCAGAATGAATACAAAGTAATCACCCTAGCTTTTTGTTGAATCATATAGTTAATCTTTTAAACTTTTTAAATTGACACAATGAACAGCATCTCCGAAGGGTAAGGGCATGTCTTTTTTACCCCAGGATGCAGAACTGCTGAGTCACTTAGCCAAATGTCTAGACTCCCTAAGTTGACACAATGTATCAACCATAACACTATTTACTGGGGATTATGTACTGTCTGACTACCTTGGGATATTGGGGCTTAGAACCTGGGCTGATGTGTATCTGTCAGCAGGCAATGAGAAAAGGGTGAGTACCTATATGCTGAGAGTTGTTGAGCTGCCTGTTCAGTGGGAGAAAGCTCTGTGAATTTGTCAGGAGAGCTGTGGCCTGTAGTCTGGATCACCATCGGAAGCCTTGAATAGATAAATCCTCCTCCTCCTCCTCCCACTCCCTCTCCTCCTAGGAGAAGCACTCCTAAGGACTCGCTGTCCCAGTCCCACCCGTGTAGAGATCCTCCCAGAGCCAGAGACAAGGAATAGGGCAAGATGAAAAAGATGAAAGGGGGCAGGTGGAAAACAGATGAATCTTTATTACCAATCAGACCACTCTGGGATCCTAGCAATAGGAAGCAGCAAACTCAGGTGGGCCTCTGTAGGGGGTGCTAAGGGTGGTTTTTTTGTTTTTTGTTTTTTGGTTGGTTTTTTTTTTGTCTTTTTGAGAAAGGGCCTCACTATGCAGTTCAGGCTGGCCTTAAATTCACGTTGTAACCCAGGATGGTTTCAAACTAGCACCAATCCTCCTGCCTCAGCCTCCCAAGTGCTGGGATTACAGGTGTGTGCCACAATGCCCTGCCTCCTGGTCTGTTTTAAAAGGTGGACTATGACAGATTCAGCAATTAGAGACCTTATTTTTCCATGCTACTATTTGGAAAAAGTATCTAAGGATTTTTATTTCCATGCTTCCTGTGGAGAATAAACATAGCAAAGAGGGCTATAAGATAAGATACCAAGAGCGTAAGAGCTCTAATTGAACTCACGACCTTGTGCCTGCCTGACAGGCGCTGTGCCGCTGAGCTAAACCCCCAGCCCCAAGAAAAAGAAACTTAAAAGATTTCACAAACACTCCTGCTTTCCAGAGTGGTTTCCCAGTAACAGCAAACAATAAGATTGTATATTGTTCCACGAACCTGCCTATGTATTGGTGGGATGGGACTTGTACCAGTTAACAGAATTTAGTATAAAAGGTGGTTGCCAGGCCCTATTGAAGGATAGACAAACTGGGTCATCAGAGAGGACGCCACTGTCTGAAGAAGCCTAGGGACCAAGGGAGGACATTAGAATATGAAAACATAGGTTCTGGAGGAGAAGCACCTTGGACTGAAATTTCTGAGGAGAATGCTACTCAGACTCTGGGGCATCAGTTTTCAAGGGTGCTGTAGTTCCTCTGGCACGCTTTATATCAGGCCATATGGCTGATACGGACACAATTCTTGAATGTGACAGAAGATGTTACTGACAACGCTTAAGTGGGGACCTTAACCTTCTCTGAGTCACCTGCCCACCTCTCCAGGCCTTGGTGCGTCTCTGCCCATTCTGTGGCCATCGTGTGCCCTTCTAAGCCTGGAGGGCTCCCAGCAGCACTCACACTCCGACTGTCCTGCCCCGAGTGGTGGCTGTTGTATGGCCGTCCCCTTAGAGCCCATTCTGGCTGTCTCTTCCTTTCAGAGACTCCTCGTACTTTTAGGTGCACCCTAGCTTGCTTTCCTGGGCCTTTCCTGTCATCCAGGAGTTGGTGGTGGCAGCGTATGCTTCTTCATCCACCCTGGTTGCTTTTTTGGTTGTCTGCAAGAGACACTGCAATAAATATAAACAGACAAGAAAGTTAAGACTCCTGGTGCTGTGCAGGTGACAGGCAAGTCCTGGAGAGCGCCCCTCAGTGGAACTAACCGTGCTGTGTACTAACATAAACAGGGCAGGTAGCAGGATCCCTAGGTCACCTGGCATGAGGAGGGGTAGGAAAGACTCCTAGAAGTGACTTTGAATTTGAGCTGGTGCCCTGGGCAGAGGAAAGGGCTGCACTAATGCTTGCTGGAGGTATGAGGATCGGGGATGGGGACTGGGGTAGTCCGTGCATCTGAGCAGGGGTGCTGGGAGGCAGAGGCAGAGGTGACACTGGAAAGGTAGGAGTAGCAAGGTGAGGACGGGCTAGGAGCCCTCCTGAGGAAGAGGCATTAGTTTCCAGGCAATGGGGACTGCATGGGCTTGTGTCAGTCAGGGAAGGGGGAGCTGAGTGGAGGAGGGGATAAGGGGGTTAATCTATCAAATGGCAGAGACTTCTGCTGGAGACTCTCAGAGGCACGGGAGTGGCTGCTATGTGAGGATCCTCAAGGCCACTGCCGTTGCCTGGGCCCTGCCCTCTCTGAGCTGAAACTATCAGATGTTGATCCACTGGTGCCCTACCCGCTGCGGTCTTAAGGATTATACAAGCAGTCACGCATAGTGACTGTGTCCAGAGCACTTCTGGCATTAGGAAAAGCAGCTAGGGCAGAAGACATGACGGTGTGTGGGCAGAGTCAAGGTGCCCACGGGAGGGGTACAGACTGAGCCCGTCCCCCACCTGTGGGACAGGGGCTAGCTGTGCTCAAGGAGAAGCTGGGCAGACCACCGTCACCAGATGCTGGGACAGGAACAGGTCCCTGGCTCCCTTGTGGGGTAACAAGTGACCCTCGCTGACCTCACGGTGCAGCAGGAGCTAGTGCTGCTGCAGGGGTGGCCTTGGAGCAGTGGCACAGCCTCCTGCCCTGTCCGGGTGCCAGCCAGCGTCTTGCCTGCCTCTGGAGGAGGTGGTACAATCCCTCCCTGGTTTCTCTCAGATCCTGTGGATGTCCCCCTGCGCTGGGCCTCAGGTGGCGGTCAGTGCTGTGACTGTCCCTTCCTCCTGTGCTAGTGTCTCTGGAATGGAGGCCACCGCACTGTGGCCCCTAGCAGTGCTCTCAGCTGTGCTGTGTTGGAGGCACAGTGCAGCTGGTGGCACGGTATGGGCAAGGGGAGGCTTTCTTGAGGACATCCACAGCCCTCCCCTGAGCATCCGAGGCAGGCGGTCAGGGCCCCTGAAAGAGTTATATTAGAGGTCCTCTCGAAAGGCTGGGAGACACAATAAAGACTTCTCTTGTGTCACTTGTCCTTGTTCATTCCCTCCATTGATTTTATGTGTCTCTGGGTCTTGCTCCCTGTTGAATGAACAAGTGAATGAATGAGTGAGTGAGTGAATGAATGAACAAATGCCTCTCAGCTCTCTAAGCTTCCCCGTCTTGCTGTGCTCTTTCTGTCTTTGTTATTTCACTCTCATTCCTCCCTTTCACTGCGGCCATAAGGCCCCAGATCCACGATGGCAAATCTGGTTGTGGAGCTGCCTGCACAGGGTGGGGCTATTAGGCTCAAGGGTGATAAACCAAGAGCTACTGGCATCTCTGAGCATGGCAGACCTGGGCCCATTTTCTCTCCACAGGCCTTGCCGAGTGACAGTTTGCTCTGCTGGGCCCGCTTGCCTCCTGGTGCTACATGCTGGGCTCCAGCTGGCTATGGGACAGCGCTGACTCCTAGAGGCTTCCTGGCCCTATTTCTGCCTCTCCACTGGGGAAGGGCCCATGCTGGTCATGCTCTCAGTGGCCTCCAGAGCCTCTCCTTGGAGAGGTCTAATGGCCTGGCCGGAGGTCAGCCTTATAGGTGTGTCCTGGACCCTC